TTCCTCTAGCTCTTTCTCCTCTTTTGCCACAGACTATGACTTCAGACATGTCACCAGTAGTCCATACTTCGCTCAGAGTAACGGGGAGGCAGAGAGGGCAGTGAAAACGGTGAAAAGCCTCTTGAAGAAGAACACCGACCCATACAAGGCCCTGTTGGCATACCGGGTCACGCCGTTGAATCAAGGCCCTTCACCGGCTGAGCTCCTGATGGGCAGAAGGTTGCGCTCACCCTTGCCACTCTCACCCAGTCAACTTAAACCACAGTGGCCAAACCAAAAGAAATTTGCAGACAAGGACAAAGAACTAAAACAGGCACAGACACTGGCCTACAGAGTGGAGGTCAGGCCAGAGCTAAAAGCAGGTCAGCGCGTCTGGATTACAAACACCCAGGAGACGGCTACGGTGCTGAGAGAAGCAGACACTCCTCGTTCCTATGTCGTGGAGACCGATTCAGAAGTGGTGAGGAGAAACAAGGCACATCTCAGACCCTTACCAGACATTCAAAGCCCTACAGAGAATGTGGGGGACACAAAACAGACAGCTGCACCACAAGTGAGGGTGGGGGAGAATGTGAAAAGGGTTCATCCAAGGAGGGAGGTGAAGGCACCAGCATGGCTCAAAGATTATGTCCAATAATGCAGAACACTTAAAACCTGTTTCAAATGTTATTGTTATTATGTGTGTTATTTTCAGTATTCAGTATTTTCAGTGATCTGTAAGTGTCAGACAGACTGTATGCTGTTGGTTAAGTAGTCCATGTTTTGTTTAAAATTTTATCACTACTTTGGGGAAGGGGAGATGTGGTGTGTTATGGTCCTCTGGGCGTTCCGTACCAGAGGCGGGTTATGTACATGTATGGTGTCCGGTAAACGTCACTTCAGTAAAGGTGCCTGCCGGCTAAAGATAAGCTGTTGTCAGAGTCCTCAATTAATAGTCTACAAATTACTACATTCCTGTCTCTTCTCTGGGCCTTTTCCCCTTTGCAAAGAAACTTTCCAAAGACATCTGATCCGTTTCTTACTCATT